TAGGGTATAATAAATATCCACATCTATTAAATTTTGGGGAAAATATTTTTTTATAAAATTTATGCTGACTAAAATTATTAGAAAATATATTTATTTTTAAATCCACGTTTTTTAAATTTTTCAGGAAAATTATTTTTAAAAAGGTTCTCAGTTGTAGAATTATATGTGTATTTTGTTTTTTAAAAAATCCACGTTTGTTTGGCAGAAGTGTGACCAACACTTGTTTGTTTAATTAAATTATTTGATTTGGTATTTTTTTTTCATATTTTTTATTTTAGATTTTTAAATATTTTTATTTAAATTTTTAATGATTTTTAATCTTTAATTTTTCCTTGATTACTCCTTCGCCATACGCATTTACTTTGCCTTTCATTGATTGCAAAAACTTTCCATTGTAACACCTTCAATGGTTCATTAGCTTGGCATACTTTCAGGCGTCATTAATTAACCACTTAACCCTTAGGAGTGTTTTTATGACAAAAATTAGGTTTGTTTTGTTTATTTCGAAAAGCAATTTAAAAATTATAAATTTTTTTTATTATTAATTTATAATAAAAAAAATTATGTATTTTTATTTTTTTTAATTTTTTTTCCACCGAAACCTTTGAAATAGCGCAAAATTCCGTAATATACTAAGTCGTATATCTTACTAATGTAGATGGGAAACACAACATAGAACTAGACACTTAAGCTAAGGGCCATACTGAACTAAAAAAAAAAGGCAAACCATCCCCCAGTTTAAAGAGTCAGGGGCACCTCATATCCTATCCCCACCACCCCAAAGAAGGTATGATTTCAACCCAACCTAAAAGGGGGGTTGTTGGTGAAAGACAATGAAATTCCCCCAATACACTTTTCACTGCCTTTGCAGAGGAAACATAACAAACCACCCTTAACAGGGTGGCATACAAGGCATTCATAGCTTCCCATTTCCTCGACTTCGGGAGCCAGTCACTTCCATATGCATAGGTATGTGAGAAGTTCAACATATGCCTGCTGTCTTTAAAATTTCTGTTGTTGTTATATTTTTTTCCATTGTTTATGTTTTGGCTTTGGCAACAGCGCCAAGTAAAATGTCAAAACAGTAAATTTTGTTTTGACATAAGTGGCGCATGACATTTGAGATATGTCACGTCAATACTTTCGCTATCGAACGGTAGGGGGCATTGTATGCCATTTTTGGAGGGAGAGTGTTGCCAGCTTGGAAAAAAGTAGTTTTCCAAGGACACAACAAATGAGGATTTTTAAAAGAATAGTTTTCAAACTGGCCAGGGACGTGGATTGTTAAAAAAATATTTTTCCAAAGAATTGCATTTTTTATAAGAAATTTTTCCGAAGTCGTGGTTTTTTTGAAACATATTTTTCCAAAGACTTGGATTTAAAAAAAAAAAAAAAAAACATTTTTTAAAAAAAAAATATTTTTAAAAACAACCATTGGACGTGGATTTTTTTTAAAAATATTTTTAAAAACAACCAATGGACGTGGATTTAAAAAAAAATATTTTTAAAAACAACCAATGGACGTGGATTAAAAAAAAAAAAAAAATATTTTTAAAAACAACCAATGGACGTGGATTTAAAAAAATATATTTTAAAAAACAACCAATGGAAAAGGATTTGAAAAAAAATATTTTTAAAAACAACCATTGGACGTGGATTTAAAAAAAAATAATTTTAAAAACAACCAATAGAAACATTTTTTAAAACAACCAATGGACGTGGATTTTTTAAGAAATATTTTTAAAAACAACCAATGGACGTGGATTTTTTAAAAAATATTTGTAAAAACAACCAATGGACGTAGATTAAAAAAAAAACTATTTCTAAAAACAATCAATGGACGTGAATTTAAAAAAAAATATTTTTTAAAACCAACAAACGGACGTGAATTTAAAAAAAATATGTTTAAAAAAAAAACAAATGGACGTGAATTTTTTAAAAATATATATATTTTTTAAATACAACCAATGGACGTGGATTTTCAAAGAATATTTTTTTACGGACCCAAGGGAGGTAAATTTTTCAAAGAAATTTTTTTTACAGAAACAACGGACGTGGATTTTTAAATAATATTTTTTTCTGACCGAACGGACGTGGAATTTTTAAAAAATATTTTTAAAAACAGCCAATGGACGTGGATGTGTAAAAAAATTTTTTTAGAAACAACCAATGGACGTGGATTTTTCAACGAATATTTTTAAAAACAACCAGTGGACGTGGATTTTTAAAAAAAATAGTTTTAAAAGCAACCAATGGACGTGGATTTAAAAAAAATAGTTTTAAAAGCAACCAATGGATGCGGATTTAAAAAAAAAATATTTTTAAAAACAACAAATGGATGTGGATTTTTCAAAAATAATTTTAAAATGAGTAAATGGTCGTGGATTTTTATAAATATATTTTCAAGAACAACCAATGGACGTGGATTTTTTAAAAAAATATTTTTAAAAACAACCAATTGACGTTGATTTTTCAAAGAATATTTTTAAAAACAACCAATGGACGTGGATTTTTAAACAAATATTTTTAAAAACAACCAATGGGCGTGGCTTTTTAAAAAAATATTTTTTAAAACAACAAATGGTCGTCGATTTTTAAAAAAATATTTTTAAAAACAACCAATGGACGTGGACTTTTAAAAAAAATATTTTTAAAAACAACCAATGGACGAGGATTTTCAAAAATATTTTTAAAAACAACCAATGGACGTAGATTTTCAAAGAATATTTTTTCAAAGACCCAACGGACGTGGATTTTTTAAAAAATATTTTTAAAAATAACCAATGGACGTAGATTTTTTAAAAATTATTTTTAAAAATAACCAATGGACGTGGATTTTTTAAAAATTATTTTTAAAAATAACCAATGGACGTGGATTTTTCAAAGAATATTTTTTTACAGATCCAACGGACGTGGATTTTTTAAAAAATATTTTTTTACAGATTCGACGGACGTGGATTTGGGACGTGGCAACATTATAAAGTTGCCAACTATTTAAAAGTTTTGTATTTTTTGGGTAGTGTGTTTAAGGAGCCATAATTTTGGAAGTAGTTAGCCGATTTTCATAAGATTTGTACCGATTGGAAGGTCATTATATTCTCTTTAATTGGAAGTAAGTATAATCTGATTTATCTAACAAAATTCTAAAGTTATACCTAAAATAATGCGGCCACCTCAAACTTATACATTTTTTCTAAATTCTCAGTCATCATTTTCATGGGCACACAATTTTTAAAGTTCTACGTATAGCTCGAGGATTTTTTCTGATTTTGAGAGACAAGGGTGTTATTAAGAAAAATTTCTTCAGCTGTGTTAATGTAATTGCTGAAGTCTTAGAGATATTGGCCAACTTAAGCCTTTGCTCAAATTTTCGAAATTCTGGAATTTCTTGTGTAATTTATTTCAAGGAGGCATAACTTTGGAAGTAGACGGTCGATATTAACATGGTTTTTACTGATTCGGTAGAGATTTACATTGTCTTTAAGTCTGATAAAGAAATATTTAATTATCTAATGAAACGCTAGAGATATAGCCAAAATAATGTGGTAACCCAAAATATTTGAAATTTGAAAAATGTTCAGTAACCTTCTTCTAGGTCACATAACTTTTGAAATATTTGCTATGGATCTATGAAATTTTTGGATTCTGCAAGAGTAAGGTGCTGTCTTCGAAATCCTTTGAGAAGTTTTTGTTGTAACTTGTCAAATTACTGAGATATCGGGCAAATTATTAACTTACTAAAATTTTGCAGGTTTTGAAGTTTTTTCAGTAATATTCTTCCGGGGCCCATAACGTATTTATTAGTAGAGTTATTTGTCTAACATAGATATCGATTTATAAGAGCATACTTTTATCTTTAATTTGATCCCAGAAATACCCTGCCAAACACCAAAGATATGGTTAAAATATTGAGGCACCCAAAAATTAATAAGTGAAATAATATTTATTTGAAAGATATTCTAGGGCCCACAACTTTTGAAGTAATAGGTGGATCTTATTCCAGTATGTGGTTTCTTTAAGAGGAGAGAGCGGGTTTTAAAATTCTGCTTAGAATTTTTCATGTAACACATCGAATACCGGAGATATCGGAAAAAATTTGCATGTACTTAAATTTTTTTAATTTTTGGTATTTTTTTGGAACTGAATTGAAAGAGTGGTTAAATAAAATAAAAAAAGGGAGGATGTTATTCAAATATGTAATTTTGTAAAGAGGAGAGTGTGCGTTTTAAAATGTTCCCTAATATGTTTGATGTAAGTCATCAAATAACTGAGATATCGGAAATTTTTTTCATGTACATAACTTTTTTAAATTTTTGTTATTTTTAGGTAATCGATTACAAGGGGCGATAACTTCAGATTAAATAGAAACGTATTTATGAAATATATCTCAATTTGATAGAGCGCTTTCTTGTATTTAATTTGGCGTCAAATATTTCAATGTATCTGCTCAAATAACAAAGTTATGGGAAAACTGCAATATAACCTCAAAATGCCAAAATATGTTCTATTTTTTAGTATTCATATTCTAGATCACATAACTTTTGAAATATTTGCTGTATTCTCCTAAAATCTTTTGATAACGAAAGAGAAGGGAGTTGTTTTGGAAATTTTGTGAAGGTTTTGTTATACATCCAACAGAGTTCTAGAAATATCGGAAGTTTTAACTTAGTATGTAAATTTTCACGTTAATATATATTTTTTAAGTTACGACATTGGAGGAACCATAACTTCTGAATTTGCGGGGGGATTTTTGCAAAATATCTTTTTTTGGGAAGAGGAAATATTTAAAAATATTTTTTTCTCGAAAAGTTGACCCATTTCCCATTTGTGGGTTAAAATGTAAACAATTCACAATACCAGTCACACATGTGTTTTAATGCTCTCACATTCATTCTCAACTCGCCGTTATGTTTTTTCTCTCTCTCAAAAAGTCTCTCACAACTACTGTTGCTTCATCAAAGGGGAGACTGCGCTCTCTGGCCAAGAGTGCAAAGACATTTTGTCTCTCTCACATACAAACACACATATACCGACACTGAACAATAACATTGGGGCCGGTATGCAGTGCCACTGAGCTGTCGACGTCTCTGCTGTTGCTCGTGGCACCATCATCCACAGAGAAATGTGTAACACTTTTGTAGTCTACTTTTAGGTGCGTGTTGAGCATAACGTAAGCGCGTGAAAATCGAAAAAAATATTACTTAGAAATTTAAAAAAAAAAATTAATAAATAAATAAATGAAAAAATATAAAACCCAAAATAAGGTGAAGTGGAGAAAAAGGAATCACAGCAAGGGAATACAAAAATAATAATGGAAATACTTCACAAAAAAGGAATAAAAATGTGAATTACAAATAGAAAATTGAATAAAAATCCAATAGAAATAAAATTTAAAAATAAAAAAATATCCTCTTAAAGAAAAAATAATAATAAAAAAAGGAAAGTAGAAAAAAATATGTTCCCCTAAAAAAGAAAATATCAAATCTAGTGTACCCAAAAAGAAGGTGAAACTTAAAAAGAATAGCTGAAAAAAAATCTACCCAATTTTTATTTAGTAAATATTGTGTAATGAAAGTGAAAATATAGTATTGAGAACAACAAGGCAAAGAAAGGAAGAAGAAGGAGAAAACAAAAAGAAAATCGACGTAAAGTTGCCAGCAGCTACTACGACTTCTGTATGTCACAACCCTCCGCTCCGCTTTATACTCCTTGCTGGAAATAATAAAAAAAATCGTTCTCATTTTTGTTTTTTTTTTAATAAAGAAAAAATTACTCAAATAATACATACATACACATGCCAATGCATGGCGAATTTTCTGCTTGTTGGGAAATGAACCCAACACATTAACAACAAAATCGGCAACAACAACAACAACAGCCACTACAACTACAACTCCTCTTTGTTAAGGAATAGAACGTTATCCTTGCCGTCACCACCACTAACATCATTATTAACGTCGCCGTCGTCATCGTCGGCGTTGTCGTTTGTCGTCGTCGTAGTCGTCCTCATCATTTACGCACAAAAGTGGTGAATTATGCCTGCGACTCCGTCTGGTACCCCCTGCTGATTTTCAACTATTTTACACTATTGTCTGAACAGAGTTACGAAGACCAACGACCAGTGACAGCAGTAGCAGCAGAAGCAGGACTTTTAAAGTAAGTGAGAGTAAAACTAGAAAAAAAAAAATTATATGCCAGGGTTGCCATGTGGAAATATTCAGGATTGTATTTGGAAGCAATAATTTCAGGACTTCATGACTCACGTTTTTTTTAAAGAAAACAAATCGAAGATCCAGGAATGAGATTTAAAAAAAAAAACAAAAATCAGGACACCATTTTGAGGACTTTTCCTAAAGAAATCCATATTAGGACACCAGGACTAAGAAGATTTCTATAGACCCCAGGTTTGGCGGGCCCCGTATGACTGAGGGTTTTTTCCGTATATAGACATTAAAAAAAATATCCTTAAATGTCTCAACGATGTGGATTAAAAAAAAAAAAAAAATTCAAGGCCTCACAAAGACGTTGCTTTTTTAAAAAATATTTTCAAGGCCTTACAAAGACGTGTATTTGTATTCTTAAAGGTCTCCTTAGGATGTAGATTTTTTAAAACGAATATTTTTAGAGGACCTGTAAGACGTTGACTTTTTAAAATTATATTTTCAAAGCCATAGATTTTTTAAAAAATATTTGTTAAGGCCTCACAAAAACGTGGGTTTTTTTAAAAAATATTTTTGAAAGGCCCCGCAAAGAAGTGGACTTTTTAAAAAAAATATTCTTAAAAGTATCTTTACGAGGTAGATTAAAAAAAATATATATTTTTAGAGGTCGCTTTACGATGTGGATTTTTATATAAAAATGTTTTAAGGGTCTCTTTAAAAGGTGGATTTTTTATATAAATGCTTTAAGGGTCTCTTTAAGAGGTGGGTTTTTTAAAAAGAATATTTTTAGAGGTATATTTAAGACGTGGAATTTTTTAAATAATATTTTCAAAGCCATAGAAGGACGTGGATTAAAAAAAAAAAATCAAGGCCATAGAAGAATATGGATTTTTAGAAAACAAATTATAAGCTCTAAAAAGGACGTGCTTTTTTAAAAAAATATTTTTCAAACTCTAAAAAGGAGGTCAATTTTTTAAAAGATATATTTAAACTCTTAAAAATTAGGTCCATTTTATAAATAAAATATATTTTTAACTCTAAAAAGGACCTTTATAAAAAAAAAAATATTTGTCATGTCCTCACAAAGCCGTGTTGTTTTTAACATTTTTCAAGGCCTTACAAAGATCTGGATTTTTTTAAATATTTTTCAAAGCTTTTCAAAAGAGGTAGATTTTTAAAAAAATATACTTTAAATGCCTAACAAAGACGTGGGTTTTTTCTAAAAAATATTGTCAAGGCCATGGAAGGACGTGGGTTTTTTAAAAAATATGTTTTAAGGCATTACATAGACCTGGATTTTTAAAAAAAAAATTTTCAAGACCTTACGTTTACCTGGATTTTTTAAAAAATATTTTTCGAGATCTTACATACACCTGGATTATTTAAAAAATATTTTTCATGGCCTCACCTATACAGCGATTTTTTAAAAAATATTTTTCATGGCCTGCTGTAGACCTGTATTTAAAAAAATATATATTTTTCATGGCTTTACAAAGACGTGGATTTCTTTAAATATATTTTCAAGGTCATAAAAAGGACGTGCATTCTTAAAAAAAATATTTTTCAAGGCCTTATGCTCTAAAAGCACGTGCATTTAAAAAAGAAATATTTTTTAAGCTCTAAAAAGGAGGTCCATTTTTCAAAGATATATTTTAAACTCTAAGCAGGACGTTCATTTTTTAAAAAAATACATTCAAGGCCTTAAAAAGACGTGAATTTAAAAAAAATATTTCTCAAGACCTTACGTTCACCTGGATTTTTTAAAAAATATTTTGCGAGACCTTACATACACCTGGATTTTTTAAAAAATATTTGTCAAGACCTTACCTGGATTTTTTAAAAAATATTTTTCATGGCCTCACCTATACAGGGATTTTTTTAAAAATTATTTTTCATGTCCTGATGTAGATCTGGATTTAAAAAAAATATATTTTTCATGGCCTGACGTAGACCTTTAGGATTTAAAAAAATATATTTTTTTCATGGCCTTACAAAGACGTGGATTTCTTTGTTAATATTTTTCAAGGTCTTATAAAGACGTGGATTTGTGAAAAAAAAAATATTTTGAGCTCTAAAAAGGACGTGCATATTTAAAAAATATTTTTTTAGCCCTAAAAAGGGCACATGGATTTTCTAAAAAATAAGGATGTCTTTTAAGGATGTCCATTTTTTTAAATATATTTCTAACTCTGAAAAAGACGTAGAGTTTTTAAAAAGTATTTTTCAGGATCTTACATACATGCAAAAATATATTTGTCATGGCCTCTCCTAGACCTGGATTTTTTAAAACATATTTTTCATGGCCTTACGTGGACGTGGATTTTTTAAAAAATAATTTTCAAAACCTTACGAGGACGTGGATTTAAAAAAATCATGGCCTTACGTAGACCTGGATTTAAATAAAAAAATATTTTGCATGACCTTACGTAGACCTGGATTTAAAAACAATATTTTTCATGGCCTTAAGTAGACCTGTTTTTTTTTTTTAATATTTATAATGTATTTTCAAAGCTCTTAAATGGACGTGGTTTAAAAAAAAAAATCAAGAACTTACGTAGACTTGGATTTTTAAAAGTCTCCTTACGATGTGGATGAAGTATTTTCAAGGCCTAACAAAGGCGTGAATCTTAACCTCTAAAAAGAACGTGGATTTAAGAAAAAACTTAACTTTTACAAGTAAAAAAGCTCTACATTCGGGCAGGCCGAACTGTAAATACCCTCCACCATTTGCAACAAAGTTGGCAATTTTCAAAAAATAAAATCTGTTAAAAATTCTGTTAAAATCTTAAAAATACCGAATGTATCCGTTATATTAGGGTCTATATGACGACGTGGACCTGCAGAGGCATGTTTTTTGATAAGACATTACAATATTCAAATGCGAAACTTAAAAAAAAAGGTGAATAATATCGCTAATATCATCAAAGTACCGAATATCGGGAGATTATATGGGGGCTACACGAAGACGTGGACCTGCACACAAAATTTTCTGTCATAGGCTGCAGTATCCATTACGAACTTCAATTACCAAATTTGAAACATTTCCGGTGAATAATGTCGCTATAATCATCAAAATACCGAATATCGGGAGGTACCGTTATATGGGAGCTCTAGCAGAACGTGGACCTACATGACCCATTTTCAATACCAAAAGTCCTGCAGACATAACATACATTTGAGTTAAATTTTATCAACCTTCTTCATTTCGTTCGGAAGCTAGAGTGATTTTCGCAGACGGATCGACGGACGGACATCGACATAGAATTTTATGCTGATCAAGAATATATAGACTTTGTGGGGTATAAAATGTATATTTCGTGGTGTTACAAACGGAATGACAAACTTAATATACTAAGGTGGAGGGTATAAAAAATATTTTTTTTTAAATCTACGTCCTTTTTACAGCTTCTTTTGTGAGAGATAAACGTCCTTTTAAGAAATAAAAAACCTTTTTTTTAAATCGACATCTTAAAGAGACCTTTAAAAATGTTCCATGAAAATCCAATGAAAATCCACATCCTAAAGAGTCCTTCGAAGACATTTTTAAAAAAATCCACGTCTTAGGACTTCAAGAGAATATAATTTAAAAAACAAATTTAATCTCTTACCAGTAAAGAAAGTCCTAAAGTCGGGCGGGGCCGATTTTATGATACCCTACACCACTTCGCTAATTTAGTTGAGCTCCACTTAATAATTAAAAGTTTTTATGGGAGAATTCAATCATACACCCTATGATTATAATTATAATTTAAAATTCAAAGGACTAAATATGCCGAAGCATTTGTATCTTTTAAATTCGGACTTGTATTGCCCATTTGTTGCGAAATTAATTTGAAATCGGATAAAAATATATATGGGAACTATATCCAAATCTGAACCGATCTCGATAAAATTTGGCAAAGATATATCTGAGCTGTATTTGATATATTTCCCTGAATATCGTTGTTACGGAGTGCATATTACGGCTGTGGGTAACAAATACAATAAATCGGATGAACAATATATATGGGAGCTATAACTATATCTGAACCGATCTTCACCAAATTTGGTATACTACCTTCTAGACTAAATTCGGTCGTATGTGCCAAATTCCATCCCATTTGGGCAAATATTAGACGTTTGGTGCACAATAAAAGGTAAATCGGACGAAGTTATATATGGGAGCTATATCGAAATCTGAACCGATCTCGATAAAATTTAGCAAAGGTATTTCTGAGCTGCATTTGATATATTTCCCCAAATATTGTTGTTACAGAGTGCATATTATGGCTGCGGAGGACAAAAATAACAAATCGGATGAACAATATATATGGGAGCTATATCTATATCTGAACCGATTTCGATAAAATTTGGCATACTTATTTTCAGGCCTAATTTGGTTGTATGTGCAAAATTCCATACTATTCGTGTTGATATTACACGTTTGGTGCACAATAAAAGGCAAATCGGACGAAGATATATATGGGAGCTATATCTAATTTTTTACCGATTATCTCCAATTTCAATAGGGTTCGTCCTTGGGCCAAACAAATGTTGTTTGCAAAGTTTCATCTCAATCGGATAATAAATGCGACCTGCATTTTGTTCACAAGAATACATGGACAGACGGACGGACAGACGGACTGACATGCATAAATCAACTCAGAAAGTGATTCTATGCAGATCATCAAAAGGAACTATGGGTCTATCTCGTTTCCTTTTGCCTGTTACAAACAAATGCACAAAGACATAATACCCTGACCACCTTGTGGTGTAGGGTATAAAAATGGACGCAGATTTTTTTTAATTATTTTAAACTTACAAGCAGGACTTATTTTTTTTTTAATATTTTCAAACTCTAAATATGACATGATTTTTTTTTTAATTATTCTAAAATCAAGGCTCTAAATATAACATGGATTCCTTTAAAAATATCTTTTATGTCCCGAAAAAAATATATATTCAGGCCATAGAAAAACCCGATTTTTTAAAAAAATATATTTGAGAAAATTATTT